GAGACTCGAACCCCCCCAAGCCAATAGACCACGATTACACTTGCGCATATAGAGCCGTGGAAGGAGCCCTTAAAGGAACCCCAGACCAGGGGTGCCCTCCTTTCTTTCGGGGGGCGGCCGGAGCTTTGGCGTTGCAGCTGCTGTGGCCACTTGTTGGCTCCTGGGCTCGGGATTACTGGGGCTTTAATATAGAAACCATTATGATCACCAACCTAATTCCTTAGGGCTCCTTATTGTACCGCCCCATTCGAATTATTAAGGCCCATGTGTAATTCCGGTTCAACCGGGCTTTAATGAGAGATTGGGGTTTCGGGTTTAAGGTAAAGGGTTTACGGTAGAGGACCCTTTTAGGGTGTTGGTCGGACTCTCTGGGCCGAGATATTTAAGAATTCCTGATTCAAGCAATTGAACTCATATTCTAGCCGAGGCCTTCCACACATTTTGATTTCAGACGTATCCTTTACACCATGATAGACTTGCTTCCTGCTTGATTTAGACCTTATGGAAGCTATAGTGGAAGAGCTGAAGTGAAGGCAGGCTCTAGGATTCAGCATCCATTCAACAGGAGCAGTCGTCGTATAGTAGCAGTCGTAGCAGAGAAGTAGGAGGAGGAAGAGCACGAGGAGCAGGAGGAGGTGTAGTGGGAGTAGGAGCGGGAGTTGGAGTAAGAGTAGGAGCTGGAGTGGGCTTGAGAGGGAGTAGAAGCAGTAACAGGAGTAGGGGTAGGAGTAGGAGTTTAGGAAGAAGGAAGTAGGGAGTAGGAGTTGGTAGTGGGAGTGGCAGGAGGAGTGGGTCCTTTTCGTCATTGTCGTCGTTGTCGTCAGGAGTACTAGTCGAAGGCTCTGAATGCTTCGACCCGTCATCTTCTTAAGGAACTTAGGATTTGTCTTAGTTGGTATACTTCACAAACCATGTGGTTTCCTCATGCTGCGACCTTCAACCAAGCCCTGTCAAAAGTGCACAGAGGCAAGCAACGCTTCGCTATGTTTGTCCTGCGGCGCTGTTCCGGGTGAGTCTCTGCTGGGCTTTCGCAGCACGGCACGAGAGGTTTTAACATGCAGTCTTGACCAGCGAATAGAACCCTAAAGTTACAGCATCCTTGTCATAAGGACCCCCCCCCCTTACCTCCAAAAAAAGCTGCAACCCTGGAGCTTACCAAGCACCCGTACGGTGGATGCTTGTTGATTGAGGGGATTTGAAGGCCAGGTAGGTTTACCGACTGAGCTGGGGCTTCGGCTTTGGGTTTAGGGTTTAGGGTTTAACGATCTCAACGGCCTGGCAGGTCAGGATGGGCAAATACTGTTGATGCAAGCAAAATGCCGTGATTTCCATAGCCGTGCATGTGCACGCCGTGCTTGTGCACGTACGGTAATGCAAGGATCTGGGCCACCAGCGGCCCAAATACCATACATACATATGTTATGTCTATATATATATATATATGCATATATATTTATATATATATATATACATAGGTGTATATACATATATATATATATATGCAGGTTCTGGAGTACCGAGTCGCCTGCTTCGTGTACCTTCTGAGCCTTGCACCTGGCTCTGAGGTCGCTGCGGCAGCACAGCGCAGCAGCCCTGCATCGCCTGTGGGCGCGACATCGCAGTGCTCTGGGCCGATAAGGGCTCTTTGAGGCTTCCCTTGCGCTCGCCTTTACGGCTTCCTATGAGGCTTCCTTTAAGGCTTAGTTTAAGGGATCCTTTAAGGGGTTCCTTCATAGGGCCACATAGATTGGGCTCATTTTGGGGTTAACAGGGTTTTGAGTTCAGGGTTTATCGGGCTTTGGGCTTAGAGGGCTTGTCTAGTACAGGTTACGACCCCCTCAATGCATGGTAGGGTTACGGTTTAGGGTTTAGGGTTTAGGGTTTAGGGTTTAGGGGTAGGGCTTCGGGTTGAGATTTAAACTCTTGGGGCTGCAGTACCGGTCTAAGACTCACTGAACTCTCCAATCATAGACCATACCGCTTGAAACAGTGGGTAATGGTACTGGCAGCCACACGTGAACCCCAAGCCCTAAAAACCTTGGCCCCTAAAGTCCCGCTTTCGATTCCCTCTCTCAGGTCTCGGCTGCTTTCTGCATCCACTGTGGCCATGCAGTGCCAAAGGCCGAGCTCTTGTCCCAAAGGTTCAGGGTTCGGGGTGTTTGTGTTTGAGTTTTGGATCCCTTGGGCCTGAAGGACCCAATAACTGCGGCTCCAGAAGACTTTATCTTCGGGCTTCATGAGTGTTTTAATACTCAAAGCCCCCCTAAACTTTTTGAGCCCCGGGGACAAACCCTTCAGCCATCCTAACTTCTATAACAACGAAGTGAATCCCAGACATACTCCCCAAGCCCATCGGGACCCCCAAGCCCTAGACCCTGAAGCCTGAACCCTCAGACATTGATCCGCACGCTCGACACCCTGATCCCTAAACCCTGAACCATTAACCATAAACCCCATAAGCGCTCCAAGCCCTAAACATCCGAACATCGCGCAATCTACGGCGCTTCTTGATCAATCCGGAAGAAGAAACCCCAAACCCTGAACCTTAAATCCCGAACCCCAAACCCAAGCTCCAAACCCCAAACCCTAAACCCTAAAGCCCTCAAGCCCTAAACCCCTAAAGCCCTGAAGCCCTAAGACCCTAAAGCCCTAAACCCCTAAAGCCCTAAAACCCTAAACCCCTAAAGCCCTAAACCCCTAAAGCCCTAAAACCCTAAATCCCTAAACCCCTAAAGCCTTAAAACCCTAAATCTCTTGACCCCCAAAGCCCTAAAGCCTAAAACCCCTGCAGCCCCAAAAACCCTAAAGCCCCCTAAAACCCAAAAGCCCTAAACCTAAACCCTAAACCCTAAACCCTAAACCCTAAACCCTAAACCCCTAGAGGAATTCAACACAACAGGAAGAAGAGCCTGGCCGAGAGCCGGCGAGGGCGGCTGGAGCCTCAGGAGCAGTTTTTGGGGAGATATTTTGGGTTTAGGGTTTAGGGTTTAGGGGTACTTATAAGGGTTTGGGTTTAGGGTTTAGGGGTAAGGTTTAGGGTTCAGGGTTTAGGGTTTAGTGGTACTTATAAGGTTTAGGGGTAAGGTTAGGGTTCAGGGTTTAGGGTTTAGGGGTACTTGTAAGGGCTGCCTATTGGATTAGGGTTCTTTTAGGGTTTAGGGTCTGGGGCTTAGGGTGCCTTTACAGGGTTGTTCAAGGGCTTATATGCGAGTATATACGCGGCCGCTGGTTCCTCTAAGAGTTCTTTCTGAGGATTCCTATATGTAAGGGGTTGGGCAAATGTAGGGTTCAGGGATAGGCTTATTCTCGGGGTCGTAATGAATAGAAAATGTTCTGGGGTCTACTACAGTGTATGTAACTGTATGTGGACTATAACATGACACCGTTCGTGTTTCCTTTTCGACGTCTTTATTTGACCAGCTTTAGGGTTGGGATCATTCGTGGCCTAAGCATTGGGTTGTAGGGTTTGATTTAAGGCTCAGGGTTGCGGTTTCGGTCTTCAGAAGTTTAAGGCCCGAAGAGCTTTAGGGCTGCAGGGTTCTCTGGGTTTAATATTTCCGAAATCTACAGGACATATGTACGAGCACGTGCAACACGAAACTACGAGCAACATGGTAGCAGCCGAGGTACACCTTCAGACACGGTTCTAAAGCAAGCGTGGCACAGTTTAGAGAGACCTATATGTGCATATTTATGACCTATTAGGTGATTGGTGACCTTCCGAAAGAAGTTCTACAGCCTAAGCAGGCCCTAATCCGTCTAGTTCTAAACACTAAACCGCTGACCCTTACCCTGAAACCGTGAACCCTGATACCCTAAATTGAAAGAAACCTAAGCAGAAAACCCTTCTCTGCCAATGCTCGCAAGCATGTGAGTAGTTCTCTCAAATAAGCGTCCCTTTTTAGGCCCCCCAATATAGTATGGCACCCTTATAAAAGTCAGAAAGGACCCTGAAAGGGACCCTAATCTAGAGAACTACCCATGTGATACCGAGTAAGGCACTAGCTGCCCCTGTCGCGGGCCCATCGGACTTCTTCTGACGCCGAAGAGCTCCGAATAGCACACAGGGCTTTAGGGCTTGAGGGTTTAGTGTTTTTAGGGCTTTAGGGTTACAGACGGTTACAGGGTTTGCAGGTCTTCAGGGTTTTTGGGGTATTGCGCCTGTTAGCAGCCCCATAATGAAACCTAGACCCATAAACACCGAATTATGCTGAACTCGTGCTCGTTCCGCCTGTGAGGGATCACCGGTTTCACCTGGGAACCTGCCGTGAGCGCGGGGTTCATGAAAAAGTGGGATTCGGGGTACACGCTTTCAGGTTCAGGGTCGGGGGTGCAGGGTTTAGTGTTTAGGGGACTGTTCTGAGGGCTGGAGGCGTTTGGGCATGGATGTAGAGGTGTTTGGGAAGGTAGAGGTTTAGTGTGCAGGGCATGGTTTAACCTAGGGAGGGTTTGGGCTTTGCAGTGTTGCCTTATTGCTTTGTTCAGGTTGGTGGTCTAGGGCTTCCAAAGCCTGTAGCATTGAAGGTGTTTGCCTGCAGGGTGCCGGATTTAGGGTTTGGATGTCCCTTGGCACAAATGTCGGTACATCAGGCGTAATATAATATAGGGGCCTATAAAGAACCACCGTTACTATTTTGGGGTTCCTTCTTGTATCATATAAGAGGCGTTCAGAATTAACATAGGGCTTTGGGGAATATTCTAGATGAATCATATATAACTTTATACAGTATACCCCAAAGCCTTATTCTAATTGTCAAGGCCCCTTATATTCCCAAAAATAAATGAGCCTCAAAGCATAGGATCCTTCTGTCCGGGAACGCGAAGGCCCAATCCCAAAGCCCTGATCCGAAGGGCCCAAGTACCGAATAATCGGATACTCTCAGAAAGTATTCATCTAGATTACTACTATCCGTAACTAAAGAGCCGCATTATTGGCTCGTTTGGACCCTTGCGGTGACACAAGCCTCACCCCAAGAAGTCACAGTCTGCGCCCTTTGCAGGTGGCCTATACTTGGATAAAATCCAGATGCTTTTGTCCACTGCCTTCAAGTGCGACCGCGAGGAGTGACGTTTTGCTATTGCGGTTCGGGGCTTGGGTTGTTTTTGTGATTTTTTGGTGTTTCTTGACCGTCATGGGCTATGTCGGGCATTCTGGGGGTTTTGGGTAGAGTACATTGATCGATGTCTGTTGCGGTGGCACTAGAAGTGTAGATTTTACCCTGCCTCTGGATGTA